AGGTCGGGAGGAGCTGTCACCCTGCTCACTTCCCGTCCTGTGCTGCCACCTCCAGGCCGACAGGAGATTCAAAGCCACAACACCAAGCTCACGGCCACAGCGTGGCCTGACTCACAGAGACCCTGCCTGTGCGCTTCCCAGGACAGACTCGCCCTTCTCCCTTGGAGTGGCTGGTGCATTCGAACAGCTGACCTTGGGGTGAGTAACCCAATGTGTAACCCCTTACCCCACCAGGGTGCCTTCCAAAAAATAAGCCAAACTCACTGCCATCAGGGCAAAGATGACTCGTGGGGACTCTGAAGGGCAAGGAAAATGCCCCTGTGGGTTTCTGAGACTGTAACTATCAGAGCAGAAAGCCCCGTGTTTCTCCCTCGGAGCGGCTGGCGGTTGTGAACTGCTGACTTTGCAGTTAGGAGCCCAAGTCATAACCACTACACCATCAGGGCCCCTTTGGGTGACTTCAAACTCCCTCCATCGAGTCAATTCTGACTCACAGTGACCCTGCAGGACAGGGTAGAACTGCCGCTATGGGTTTCTGAGACTGGAACCCTGACGGAAGTAGAAAGCCTCATCACCAGCTTTGCAAACTCAGCTGGAAAAACACCAGCCACCCTCATCGTTGGGGTGCTTCCTCCGGGAGAGGCTGGAGAGCTTCTGAAATATTCACTGTGACGGTTGGGGGGCGGGGTGATAGTGGTGGTGGTGGTGATGGTGGTGGTGGTGGTGGTGGTGGTGGTGATGGTGGTGGTGATGGTGATGGTGGTGATAATGGTGGTGGTGGTAGAAGTGATGGTGGTGGTGGTGACGGTAGTGAAGATGATAATGTGGTGGTGACTGATGGAACATGTCTGCCACTGCCCACCGATGGCCCGGCTGTGTTGAGGCCCAGTTGGTTGGCTGGGGGTAGGCTGTGTGCACAGCCGCAGCCCCAGCAGCAGGGGGTTGGACCGTCCCTCACAGTGTGACCACCTTCTCTCTCTCTCTTGTCTTGCAGACGGAGCATCTGAGTAGGAGGCCTCTGGAGCAGCCGGGCCCCCCAGGCGGATGGGGAAGGTTGCTGGGCGTGAGGGAGGCAGGCCCGCTCCCCAGGCTGCCATGCGCTCTGGGACAGGACGCCCCTGAGCGTGTCCTTTAGTCCCTGGGAGCCGTGGCCGGCTCCACCCCTTCTCCGCAGGCTCCCCTTCAAGGCGTCCCCATGGCTGGGGGCGTGCTGTGGGTGTGCGTGGCCGCCTGGGCCCTGCTGCACGCGGGCGGGCTGGCACGCGGGGACTGCTGGCTGATCGAGGGGGACAAGGGCTTCGTGTGGCTGGCCATCTGCAGCCAGAACCAGCCCCCCTACGAGGCCATCCCGCAGCAGATCAACAGCACCATCGTGGACCTGCGGCTGAATGAGAACCGCATCCGCAGCGTGCAGCACGCCGCACTCAGCCGCTTCGGCAACCTCACGTACCTCAACCTCACCAAGAACGAGATAGGCTACATTGAGGATGGCGCCTTCTCCGGCCAGTTCAACCTGCAGGTGCTGCAGCTGGGCTACAACCGGCTTCGCAACCTGAGCGAGGGCGTGCTGCGCGGGCTGGGCAAGCTGGAGTACCTGTACCTGCAGGCGAACCTCATCGAGGTGGTCACGCCCAGCGCCTTCTGGGAGTGCCCCAACATCCTCAACATCGACCTGTCCATGAACCGCATCCAGCGCCTGCACAGCGCCACCTTCGCCGGCCTGGCCAAGCTCTCGGTGTGTGAGCTCTACAGCAACCCCTTCTACTGCTCCTGCGAGCTGCTCGGCTTCCTGCGCTGGCTGGTGGCCTTCACCAATGCCACGCACACCTATGACAGGGTGCAGTGCGAGTCCCCTCCCCTCTACTCCGGCTACTTCCTGCTGGGCCAAGGCCGCCACGGCCACCGCAGCATCCTCAGCAAGCTGCAGTCGGTGTGCACTGACGGCACCTACGTGGCCGAGGTGGCCAGCGGCCCTCGGCCGGGGCCCCGGCGCTCCCAGCCGCCTCCACCGCCCCCGCCGCCGCCCCCAGAGCCCAGCGACGTGGCCTGCTCCGACGAGGACTGCTTCTCGGGGGATGGCACCACGCCGCTGGTGGCCCTGCCCACGCTGGCCACGCAGGCGGAGGCCCGGCCGCTCATCAAGGTCAAGCATCTGACCCAGAACTCGGCCACCATCATGGTGCAGCTGCCCAGCCCCTTCACCCGCATGTACACGCTGGAGCAGTTTGACCGCAGCCGCCCGTCCACTGTCTCCCGGCTGACCAGGGCCCAGGAGGAGATCCGCCTGACCAACCTCGTGGCGCTGACCAACTACACCTACTGCGTGGTGTCCACCAGCTCTGGCCTGCGCCACAACCACACTTGCCTCACCATCACCCTGCCCAGGCCGCCCAGCCCGCCGGGCCCGGTGCCCAGCCCCTCCACGGCCACCCACTACATCATGACCATCCTGGGCTGCCTCTTCGGCATGCTGCTGGTGCTGGGCGCCGTGTACTACTGCCTGCGCCGGCGGCGCCGCCAGGCCGAGAAGCACAAGAAGGCAGCGATGGCGGCGGCGGTGGCGGGGGGCAGCCTGAAGAAAACCACCATCGAGCTCCAGTATGGCGCCGAGATGGGCACGTCCGCCCTGCCGCCGCCGCCCCCGGGTCCGCTGCTGGGCCCTGAGCCCGGGACCCGCATTCCCTACCTGCCCGTGGCGGCCGTGGCCGGCGACTTGGATCAGTACAAGCTGGCGGAGAGCGAGGCGGCCAAGGTGGCCAAGGGCAACTACATGGAGGTGCGCACCGCCGAGCAGGCTGAGCGGCCGGCGCCCGACAGCCAGGGCTCGGCGGCCGAGATCTCCACCATCGCCAAGGAGGTGGACAGGGTCAACCAGATCATCAACAACTGCATCGACGCCCTCAAATCCGAGTCCACCTCCTTCCAGGCGGTCAGGCCGGGGGCCGCGCCCGCCGCCGAGCCGCAGCTGGTGCTGCTGTCCGAGCCACCGGCCGCGTTCA